GACATGGCAGCGTTTAGAGAACATCCAGCAGCTTGAGGAGACATGGCAGCGTTTAGAGAACATCCAGCAGCTTGAGGAGACATGGCAGCGTTTAGAGAACATCCAGCAGCTTGAGGAGACATGGCAGCGTTTAGAGAACACCCAGCAGCTTGAGGAGACATGGCAGCGTTTAGAGAACATCCAGCAGCTTGAGGAGACATGGCAGCGTTTAGAGAACACTCAGCAGATTGAGGAGACATGGCAGCGTTTAGAGAACATCCAGCAGCTTGAGGAGACATGGCAGCGTTTAGAGAACATCCAGCAGCTTGAGGAGACATGGCAGCGTTTAGAGAACATCCAGCAGCTTGAGGAGACATGGCAGCGTTTAGAGAACACTCAGCAGATTGAGGAGACATGGCAGCGTTTAGAGAACATCCAGCAGCTTGAGGAGACATGGCAGCGTTTAGAGAACACCCAGCAGCTTGAGGAGACATGGCAGCGTTTAGAGAACACCCAGCAGCTTGAGGAGACATGGCAGCGTTTAGAGAACATCCAGCAGCTTGAGGAGACATGGCAGCGTTTAGAGAACATCCAGCAGCTTGAGGAGACATGGTAGCGTTTAGAGAACATCCAGCAGCTTGAGGAGACATGGCAGCGTTTAGAGAACATCCAGCAGCTTGAGGAGACATGCAGCGTTTAGAGAACACCCAGCAGCTTGAGGAGACATGGCAGCGTTTAGAGAACACCCAGCAGCTTGAGGAGACATGGCAGCGTTTAGAGACCACTCAGCAGCTTGAGGAGACATGGCAGCGTTTAGAGAACACTCAGCAGCTTGAGGAGACATGGCAGCGTTTAGAGAACATCCAGCAGCTTGAGGAGACATGGCAGCGTTTAGAGAACATCCAGCAGCTTGAGGAGACATGGCAGCGTTTAGAGAACATCCAGCAGCTTGAGGAGAATGGCAGCGTTTAGAGAACATCCAGCAGCTTGAGGACACATGGCAGCGTTTAGAGAACAACCAGCAGCTTGAGGAGACATGGCAGCGTTTAGAGAACATCCAGCAGCTTGAGGAGACATGGCAGCGTTTAGAGAACATCCAGCAGCTTGAGGAGACATGGCAGCGTTTAGAGAACATCCAGCAGCTTGAGGAGACATGGCAGCGTTTAGAGAACATCCAGCAGCTTGAGGAAACATGGCAGCGTTTAGAGAACATCCAGCAGCTTGAGGAGACATGGCAGCGTTTAGAGAACACCCAGCAGCTTGAGGAAACATGGCAGCGTTTAGAGAACATCCAGAAGCTTGAGGAGACATGGCAGCGTTTAGAGAACATCCAGCAGCTTGAGGAGACATGGCAGCGTTTAGAGAACATCCAGCAGCTTGAGGAGACATGGCAGCGTTTAGAGAACACTCAGCAGCTTGAGGAGACATGACAGCGTTTAGAGAACACCCAGCAGCTTGAGGAGGGGACATGGAAGCATTTAGAGAACATCCAACAGCTTGAGGAGACATGGCAGCGTTTAGAGAACATCCAGCAGCTTGAGGAGACATGGCAGCGTTTAGAGAACATCCAGCAGCTTGAGGAGACATGGCAGCGTTTAGAGAACATCCAGCAGCTTGAGGAGACATGGCAGCGTTAGAGAACATCCAGCAGCTTGAGGAGACATGGCAGCGTTTATAGAACATCCAGCAGCTTGAGGAGACATGGCAGCGTTTAGAGAACACCCAGCAGCTGAGGAGACATGGCAGCGTTTAGAGAACACTCAGCAGCTTGAGGAGACATGGCAGCGCTTAGAGAACACCCAGCAGCTTGAGGAGACATGGCAGCGTTTAGAGAACACTCAGCAGCTTGAGGAGACATGGCAGCGCTTAGAGAACATCCAGCAGCTTGAGGAGACATGGCAGCGTTTAGAGAACACCCAGCAGCTTGAGTAGACATGGCAGCGTTTAGAGAACACTCAGCAGCTTGAGGAGACATGGCAGCGTTTAGAGAACACCCAGCAGCTTGAGGAGGAGACATGGCAGCGTTTAGGGAACATCCAGCAGCTTGAGGAAACATGGCAGCGTTTAGAGAACACCCAGCAGCTTGAGGAGACATGGCAGCGTTTAGAGAACACCCAGCAGCTTGAGGAGGAGACATGGCAGCGTTTAGAGAACATCCAGCAGCTTGAGGAGACATGGCAGCGTTTAGAGAACACCCAGCAGCTTGAGGAGATATGGCAGCGTTTAGAGAACACTCAGCAGCTTGAGGAGACATGGCAGCGTTTAGAGAACACCCAGCAGCTTGAGGAGACATGGCAGCGTTTAGAGAACACCCAGCAGCTTGAGAAGACATGGCAGCGTTTAGAGAACATCCAGCAGCTTGAGGAGACATGGCAGCGCTTAGAGAACACCCAGCAGCTTGAGGAGACATGGCAGCGTTTAGAGAACACTCAGCAGCTTGAGGAGGAGACATGGCAGCGTTTAGAGAACACCCAGCAGCTTGAGGAGACATGGCAGCGTTTAGAGAACACCCAGCAGCTTGAGGAGGAGACATGGCAGCGTTTAGAGAACACCCAGCAGCTTGAGAAGACATGGCAGCGTTTAGAGAACACCCAGCAGCTTGAGGAGACATGGCAGCGTTTAGAGAACACCCAGCAGCTTGAGGAGACATGGCAGCGTTTAGAGAACATCCAGCAGCTTGAGGAGACATGGCAGCGTTTAGAGAACATCCAGCAGCTTGAGGAGGAGACATGGCAGCGTTTAGAGAACACCCAGCAGCTTGAGGAGACATTGCAGCGTTTAGAGAACACCCAGCAGCTTGAGGAGACATTGCAGCGTTTAGAGAACACCCAGCAGCTTGAGGAGGAGACATGGCAGCGTTGACTAAAAGCTGAAGAAGCTCAAAACACAACGGAGACACTTTTTAGTTTCCCCTGGTTTTAAATCTGCATCGTTTCTGAAGCTGCGTTCGTTGGATTGTTGTTGCGTGTTTATCGTCGGTCGAGCTCCGTATGAGAGACAGAGAAACATCCCTTAAAGCCAAATGTAACTGAACTTCTAATCCCGTGTAAAAGCAGGGATCATTATGCGTGTGTGGAACCATGCAGGATGAGGGGAGGTTAATAGTTATGTCATCTGTCTGTCTGCACTTAAATATGATCTCCTGAATACTCAATAGTTTTGCCTGATTTGATGCTCTAGCCACCCTTTCAAATTAAAAGCACTTAACTCAACGATGATGTGAAGAATTACACTTTTACGGCTTTTTTGATTTTGATTAAAATGTTGACTATTTGTTGGATAAATGTAATATTTGATAATTAAACAAAAGAAACCCGACAGGACTAAATGTGTCTCTAAAAGGTGAAAGCAGCAGTTTTAAAACCCTCCTTTCTGTCTACGCTTTGCCCCCCACTCTGTGCACTCCTGTTGTGATAGACCCCCCTCCCCAGATTACCCACAATGCACCACGGTCCTCCCGAACGACTCGTGGCCAAAAACAAAACGAGGAAATGTAATAAAGTCATGGTTTGGTAAATGTTTTCAGTGCTATGTTTTTGGAGCGTTACGAGTATTTTCTAACATGTTACAATAAAAGATTGTAGTGTACAAATTCACATTTATAAAATATATATAGATATATAAGAAATGTATGTTCTAATGCAATAAAGAGAGATTAAGAAGTATTATGAATCCATCTGGTTATTATTTGATGTGTGTGTGTGTGTGTGTGTGTGTGTGTGTGTGTGTGTTTGCTTCCTGTTGTTTAAAGTCTCAAATACACTTTTGTGTAGTGCTCCTATTGGCTAGCGCTCCAACACATTGTACCTGATTGGCTAAGGGGCGGGACGTCTCTAAGTGGTTGACCAATCACATCAGAGTTTTCTTTGTGCTTCATAAACAGCTGTTTTTAAATGATATATCTTTGTAGTGTAACATTCAGTATTAAAAACTGCCATTTATTCAATATTTTTGACACTATTTGTTGTGATACTATAGTTATTATCAAGAGTTTCTTATACCAATTATTAAAATGTATTACAATAATATATATTATTATCACACTGTTTTGCAATAAGTAGTCAATGTAATTAAATAATTAGATATTTAATGAAATATATTAATTTAACATAAACATTTTTTAAAGCGCTCGTATTGGCCAGTGCTCCAACACATTGTAGTGATAGGCTAAGGGGCGGGACATCTCTAACAGCTGACAATCACAACAGAGAAGATACTCTTGGGACATGTGGGAGGCAAACAGGTGAATTAAACAATTGTATAAAGTTATATAATTTAACAATTTCACAATAAAAAGCAGCTGTTTTTTATTTAAAATTATATATGTTTGTAGTGTAACATTCAGTATTGAAAACTGTCATTAATATATTATTTTGAGAACATTTATTGAGATACTAAGTTATTATTTTAAGAGTTTCTTATAACAATCATTAAATTAAAAATATTTTAAATAATATATGGTTTTATCACACTGTTAAATATTCCATAAAGTAGACAAAGTACTTAAATAATTAGATATTCAATTAAATATATTTATTTAAAATGTCATTTTGTGAAAGCGCTCCTATTGACCAGCGCTCCAATACATTGTACATGATGGGCTAAGGGGCGGGACTTCGCTAAGCGGTGGACCAATCACAACAGAGAAGTTACTTATGGGACATGTGGGAGGCAAACAGGTGAATTAAATCATTAAATATGGTTATATAATTTAACTATTTGAGTATTTGAACTTCTTTACCATTAATGTTTTTATTTTAAATTATATTTGTTTTGTAGTGTAACATTCAGCGTTGAAAACTGACATTTATTCATATTTTGACAATACTTTTGGAGATATTAAGTCATTATTTTAAGAGAGTTTCTGATTACAATTATTACGTTACATATATTAAATAATTGTACTGCTAAATATTCTATAAAGTAGTCAAAGTACTTCAATGATTAGATATAAAATGTAACATATTGAATATGTTTTGCTCTCCGTGTGAATTGTCCCTCTCAGGCTTCCGTCGGGGCGATTCATCATTGTTGACATTTTTTCCCCCATCAGCTGACAGCTCACTCGTTAGCTTTAGCTTTAGCTTCAGTCGGATTATTATCAACACTTTTAGCACAACAACAACACCTCAGAATGACGTCATCCTCCCGACAGTCAGCTGTCAGGAAACACAGAGTGTTCATTATTCTGTAAAGAGAGAAGCTAACAGGCTAACAGGCTAACATGGAGGGGGTGCTCTACAAATGGACCAACTACATGACAGGTGAGTGTGTGTGTGTGTGTGTGTGTGTGTGTGTGTCTGTCTGTCTGTCTGTCTGTCTGTCTATGTGTGTGTGTGTGTGTGTCTGTCTGTCTGTGTGATTCTGTCTGTCTGTCTATCTAAGCTGGTTGACCAATCACAACAGAGCCGGCTAGCTAACCAATCAGAGCAGCCTGGGCTCTGGTTTCAGACAGAGGGTGAAAAGAGGCAGAATGAGTGGGTGTTGTCCACAGTGTCTGGTATATGTATGTACGTATAGCGCTTTGAGCACTGTATTATGAAATACACCTGAACATCAGCTCTCTAAGTCTCAGCGATAGCATCCAGCATTAATGCACTATCTCAGATATCTGGTGCATCAATGTAATGTGTCTCTTGCCAGTCTTTGAACTCTGTAAAACATCATACTCTACGAGAAACATGTCACACTTCATGTGTCGTAGCAACTTCAAATCAGCTGCTGTCTAGAGAAAGAAACACAATATCGATATAGAGTCTTTTAACATCTTTTATTTTAATGCTTGCAAGCATGACGACTCCTTCTGAGTGACAGACTCTCTTATAGGGAAACATCAAAGATCATTTACATTTCAAACAACAACATGTGGTCCAAGTGGATCACAATAAGCCAAACTCACACCCTACAAAGAACAGTTGGGTGTTGCAGTCAATGTCTTCCTGTAGTGTCAGAAAACCCTTCGTCTGCCCCTCGTGAACACAGAGCACATGTTCTTCTCAGACTTAAGGATTTCAAACACTTGAAAGCATACTACTTAGTTACAAGTTACATTTCATTAGGATGACACGTTATGAAGCTTTAATACCACACCTGCCATAACAACTGAGTGTGTTTCCTCAGGATGGCAGCCGCGTTGGTTCGTGCTTCAGAATGGATTCATCTCGTACTACGACAGCGAGGACGACGTTGGAAAAGGAAGCAAAGGATCCATCAAGATGTCCGTGTGTGAGATTAAAGGTGAGGCCGCTGTGCTCTTTGTCTTCTTCCTCTGTTCCCTTCAGTGTTTACTTCCTGTCTGTATTATTCCTCTGTTCCCTTTAGTGTTTACTTCCTGTCTGTCTTCTTCTTCTGTTCCCTTTAGTGTTTACTTCCTGTCTGTATTATTCCTCTGTTCCCTTTAGTGTTTACTTCCTGTCTGTCTTCTTCTTCTGTTCCCTTTAGTGTTTACTTCCTGTCTGTCTTCTTCCTCTGTTCCCTTTAGTGTTTACTTCCTGTCTGTCTTATTCCTCTGTTCCCTTCAGTGTTTACTTCCTGTCTGTCTTCTTCCTCTGTTCCCTTTAGTGTTTACTTCCTGTATGTCTTCTTCCTATGTTCCCTTCAGTGTTTACTTCCTGTCTGTCTTCTTCTTCTGTTCCCTTTAGTGTTTACTTCCTGTCTGTCTTCTTCCTCTGTTCCCTTTAGTGTTTACTTCCTGTCTGTCTTCTTCCTCTGTTTCCTTTAGTGTTTACTTCCTGTCTGTCTTCTTCCTCTGTTCCCTTCAGTGTTTACTTCCCGTCTGTCTTCTTCCACTGTTCCCTTCAGTGTTTACTTCCTGTCTGTCTTCTTCCTCTGTTCCCTTCAGTGTTTACTTCCTGTCTGTCTTCTTCCTCTGTTCCCTTCAGTGTTTACTTCCTGTCTGTCTTCTTCCTCTGTTCCCTTCAGTGTTTACTTCCTGTTTGTCTTCTTCTGCTGTTCCCTTCAGTGTTTACTTCCTGTCTGTCTTCTTCCTCTGTTCCCTTCAGTGTTTACTTCCTGTTTGTCTTCTTCCTCTGTTCCCTTCAGTGTTTACTTCCTGTTTGTCTTCTTCCTCTGTTCCCTTTAGTATTTACTTCCTGTCTGTCTTCTTCCTCTGTTCCCTTCAGTGTTTACTTCCTGTCTGTCTTCTTCCTCTGTTCCCTTCAGTGTTTACTTCCTGTTTGTCTTCTTCTGCTGTTTCATTCAGTGTTTACTTCTTGTCTGTCTTCTTCCTCTGTTCCCTTCAGTGTTTACTTCCTGTTTGTCTTCTTCCTCTGTTCCCTTCAGTGTTTACTTCCTGTCTGTCTTCTTCCTCTGTTCCCTTCAGTGTTTACTTCCTGTCTGTCTTCTTCCTCTGTTCCCTTCAGTGTTTACTTCCTGTCTGTCTTCTTCCTCTGTTCCCTTCAGTGTTTACTTCCTGTCTGTCTTCTTCCTCTGTTCCCTTCAGTGTTTACTTCCCGTCTGTCTTCTTCCACTGTTCCCTTCAGTGTTTACTTCCTGTCTGTCTTCTTCCTCTGTTCCCTTCAGTGTTTACTTCCTGTCTGTCTTCTTCCTCTGTTCCCTTCAGTGTTTACTTCCTGTCTGTCTTCTTCCTCTGTTCCCTTCACTGTTTACTTCCTGTTTGTCTTCTTCTGCTGTTCCCTTCAGTGTTTACTTCCTGTCTGTCTTCTTCCTCTGTTCCCTTCAGTGTTTACTTCCTGTTTGTCTTCTTCCTCTGTTCCCTTCAGTGTTTACTTCCTGTCTGTCTTCTTCCTCTGTTCCCTTCAGTGTTTTACTTCCTGTCTGTCTTCTTCCTCTGTTCCCTTCAGTGTTTACTTCCTGTCTGTCTTCTTCCTCTGTTCCCTTTAGTGTTTACTTCCTGTCTGTCTTCTTCCTCTGTTCCCTTTAGTGTTTACTTCCTGTCTGTCTTCTTCCTCTGTTCCCTTCAGTGTTTACTTCCTGTCTGTCTTCTTCCTCTGTTCCCTTCAGTGTTTACTTCCTGTTTGTCTTCTTCCTCTGTTCCATTTAGTATTTACTTCCTGTCTGTCTTCTTCCTCTGTTCCCTTCAGTTTTTACTTCCTGTCTGTCTTCTTCCTCTGTTCCCTTCAGTGTTTACTTCCTGTTTGTCTTCTTCCTCTGTTCCATTTAGTATTTACTTCCTGTCTGTCTTCTTCCTCTGTTCCCTTCAGTTTTTACTTCCTGTCTGTCTTCTTCCTCTGTTCCCTTCAGTGTTTACTTCCTGTTTGTCTTCTTCCTCTGTTCCCTTTAGTATTTACTTCCTGTCTGTCTTCTTCCTCTGTTCCCTTCAGTTTTTACTTCCTGTCTGTCTTCTTCCTCTGTTCCCTTCAGTGTTTACTTCCTGTCTGTCTTCTTCCTCTGTTCCCTTCAGTGTTTACTTCCTGTCAGTCTTCTTCCTCTGTTCCCTTCAGTGTTTACTTCCTGTCTGTCTTCTTCCTCTGTTCGCTTTAGTGTTTACTTCCCGTCTGTCTTCTTCCTCTGTTCCCTTCAGTGTTTACTTCCTGTTTGTCTTCTTCCTCTGTTCCCTTCAGTGTTTACTTCCTGTTTGTCTTCTTCCTCTGTTCCCTTCAGTGTTTACTTCCTGTTTGTCTTCTTCTGATGTTCCCTTCAGTGTTTACTTCCTGTCTGTCTTCTTCCTCTGTTCCCTTTAGTGTTTACTTCCCGTCTGTCTTCTTCCTCTGTTCCCTTCAGTGTTTACTTCCCGTCTGTCTTCTTCCTATGTTCCATTTAGTGTTTACTTCCTGTTTGTCTTCTTCCTCTGTTCCCTTTAGTGTTTACTTCCTGTCTGTCTTCTTCCTCTGTTCCCTTTAGTGTTTACTTCCTGTTGGTCTTCTTCCTCTGTTCCCTTCAGTGTTTACTTCCTGTTTGTCTTCTTCCTCTGTTCCCTTTAGTGTTTACTTCCTGTCTGTCTTCTTCCTCTGTTCCCTTCAGTGTTTACTTCCTGTCTGTCTTCTTCCTCTGTTCCCTTCAGTGTTTATTTCCTCTTTGTCTTCTTCCTCTGTTCCCTTTAGTGTTTACTTCCTGTCTGTCTTCTTACTCTGTTCCCTTCAGTGTTTACTTCCTGTCTGTCTTCTTCTTCTGTTCCCTTTTGTGTTTACTTCCCGTCTTCTTCCTCTGTTCCCTTCAGTGTTTACTTCCTGTCTGTCTTCTTCCTCTCTTCCCTTCAGTGTTTACTTCCTGTCTGTCTTCTTCCTCTGTTCCCTTCAGTGTTTATTTCCTCTTTGTCTTCTTCCTCTGTTCCCTTTAGTGTTTACTTCCTGTTTATCTTCTTCCTCTGTTCCCTTTAGTGTTTACTTCCTGTCTGTCTTCTTCCTCTGTTCCCTTCAGTGTTTACTTCCTGTCTGTCTTTTTCCTCTGTTCCCTTCAGTGTTTACTTCCTGTTTGTCTTCTTCCTCTGTTCCCTTTAGTATTTACTTCCTGTCTGTCTTCTTCCTCTGTTCCCTTCAGTTTTTACTTCCTGTCTGTCTTCTTCCTCTGTTCCCTTCAGTGTTTACTTCCTGACTGTCTTCTTCCTCTGTTCCCTTTAGTATTTCCTTCCTGTCTGTCTTCTTCCTCTGTTCCCTTCAGTTTTTACTTCCCGTTTGTCTTCTTCCTCTGTTCCATTTAGTGTTTACTTCCTGTTTGTCTTCTTCCTCTGTTCCCTTCAGTGTTTACTTCCTGACTGTCTTCTTCCTCTGTTCCCTTTAGTATTTCCTTCCTGTCTGTCTTCTTCCTCTGTTCCCTTCAGTGTTTACTTCCCGTTTGTCTTCTTCCTCTGTTCCATTTAGTGTTTACTTCCTGTTTGTCTTCTTCCTCTGTTCCCTTTAGTGTTTACTTCCTGTCTGTCTTCTTCCTCTGTTCCCTTTAGTGTTTACTTCCTGTTTGTCTTCTTCCTCTGTTCCCTTTAGTGTTTACTTCCTGTCTGTCTTCTTCCTCTGTTCCCTTCAGTGTTTACTTCCTGTTTGTCTTCTTCCTCTGTTCCCTTTAGTGTTTACTTCCTGTTTGTCTTCTTCCTCTGTTCCCTTTAGTGTCTACTTCCTGTCTGTCTTCTTCCTCTGTTCCCTTCAGTGTGTACTTCCTGTCTGTCTTCTTCCTCTGTTCCCTTTAGTGTTTACTTCCTGTCGGTCTTCTTCCTCTGTTCCCTTCAGTGTTTACTTCCTGTTTGTCTTCTTCCTCTGTTCCCTTCAGTGTTTACTTCCTGTCTGTCTTCTTCCTCTGTTCCCTTCAGTGTTTATTTCCTCTTTGTCTTCTTCCTCTGTTCCCTTCAGTGTTTACTTCCTGTCTGTCTTCTTCCTCTGTTCCCTTCAGTGTTTACTTCCTGTCTGTCTTCTTCTTCTGTTCCCTTTAGTGTTTACTTCCCGTATTCTTCCTCTGTTCCCTTCAGTGTTTACTTCCTGTCAGTCTTCTTCCTCTGTTCCCTTCAGTGTTTACTTCCGGTTTGTCTTCTTCCTCTGTTCCCTTTAGTATTTACTTCCTGTCTGTCTTCTTCCTCTGTTCCCTTTAGTGTTTACTTCCTGTCTGTCTTCTTCCTCTGTTCCCTTCAGTGTTTACTTCCTGTCTGTCTTCTTCCTCTGTTCCCTTCAGTGTTTACTTCCTGTCTGTCTTCTTCCTCTGTTCCCTTCAGTGTTTACTTCCTGTCAGTCTTCTTCCTCTGTTCCCTTCAGTGTTTACTTCCGGTTTGTATTCTTCCTCTGTTCCCTTTAGTATTTACTTCCTGTCTGTCTTCTTCCTCTGTTCCATTTAGTGTTTACTTCCTGTCTGTCTTCTTCCTCTGTTCCCTTTAGTGTTTACTTCCCGTCTGTCTTCTTCCTCTGTTCCCTTCAGTGTTTACTTCCTGTTTGTCTTCTTCCTCTGTTCCCTTCAGTGTTTACTTCCTGTTTGTCTTCTTCCTCTGTTCCCTTCAGTATTTCCTTCCTGTTTGTCTTCTTCTGATGTTCCCTTCAGTGTTTACTTCCTGTCTGTCTTCTTCCTCTTTTCCCTTTAGTGTTTACTTCCCGTCTGTCTTCTTCCTCTGTTCCCTTCAGTGTTTACTTCCCGTCTGTCTTCTTCCTCTGTTCCCTTTAGTGTTTACTTCCTGTCTGTCTTCTTCCTCTGTTCCCTTTAGTGTTTACTTCCTGTCTGTCTTCTTCCTCTGTTCCCTTCAGTGTTTACTTCCTGTTTGTCTTCTTCCTCTGTTCCCTTTAGTGTTTACTTCCTGTCTGTCTTCTTCCTCTGTTCCCTTCAGTGTTTACTTCCTGTCTGTCTTCTTCCTCTGTTCCCTTCAGTGT